CTGAATGCATTGAGAGATGCTCAATGCTACCTTGCAAATTGGCCTGCCCAAAGCAATACTCTATTTGACTGATAATTACACCATCTGAGTCATAACTTTGGATGAGAATAGGGTAGGGAAACAAGTTCATTGTCATCTATTAACACTTAAACATTTTAAGATTACGGAATATTTCCATATAAAATACTCTTCAGACACCCATCTACTTATTACCCAGTTATAATGTAAGTTAATATTTTTGCCATATTTGCTTCTTATTTTTTTAGAGAGACAATTTATCATGACTTACCGAGTCATCTAACATATCCACCATATTGATGGACATTGGCTTCCAATTTTCACAGTTACAAATAAAGCTGCATTGAATATCCTTTTATGTATCTCCCTGAGTATATAGTTTGCAAGGATTTCTTAATACTCAGAAATATAATTGCTGGCTATTAAGATATATGCACCTTCAATTTTGTAAGATATTGCCACTAGTAGTGTATGAATATGCTCATACTTTCATATCCTTATAAACATTGTAGAGATTTTTAATTTTTACCAAGTGGATATAAAATGGTACATTGTTGTTGTTTTACTTTGCATTTCACTGGTGAATTTAAGACAATTTTAAGGCTGAATTTGTTTTCAAGTATTTATTAGCCATTTTGTTTTCTTCTACTGTGAACTATTTATAGGCTTAGGCCATTTTTCTATAAGATATTGTCTTTTATTGATTTCTAAGAATTTTTTATTTATTCTGGATACTAATATTATTTGACTTAATTTTATAAAAAATACCTTTTTGTCTATGACTTCTCTTGTAACACTATTTATGATGTCTTTTGATCAATAGAAATTTTAAATTATAATTTAATCAAGAGTCATATATAAAATGTCATATTGTAAACCTTTTAGAAATTATAAATACACACACGTATGTATATGTAACATGTCTTGAGTTTATAAATAAAAGAGTTATTTTATGTCCTTCAGCAAATTTTGTAATTTTTGTCATAACTGTCTTTTAAATCTTCTGTTAGATATATTCCTATAGGAACATTAGAGATTTTATTGCAGTTGTAAATGGGAAATTTTCACTTTAATTTGCTTTCTAATTTCTTGTTGCTGGTGTATGGGTATGCTATTTTTGTATATTGATCTTGTATCCAACAACCTTCATGAAAATTGCCTGCTGTTATGATTTGTAGATTCTCTTGTTTTTTTTTTTTAATGTAGACAATCTTATCATCTGTGAAAGGTGAAACTTTTGTTTCTTCCACTCCAGTTATTACACTTATACTTCTTTTTCTTGTTTTACTGCATTTTCTTGAATCTCTAGTAAATAGATTAGAATCCAGTTCATTGAATAGAAACACTGATGAAGGACTTCTGTGACTATTTGGGAATGTTTCTGGAGAGGGTTTCATCAGCTTAGTTTTGATTCTCATTTACTGTTTTCTTCTTATAGTAATGTTGCACTTCTCTGTTCATTTTAAGTATGTTGAATTTTCCTAGACCAGCAGCAATCAGGCGATTCTAAGGATGGGCAATGAGACATTTGGGCAGTTTTCTCAATCTCTTAGTTCAAGAGTGCCCTCTACTGTTGGAACAGTGAAGTGATCTTTATTTCATTAAAGGCATCTTTTTTGAAAGAGTGGTGGTTCTAGGACCCTTAATTTCTGAACTTGAGTTCTTATTTTTCTTTATCTTGCTAATTGCTTCCCACTTTCCCAGAGGCAGCGCCTTCCCAAAACTGCCACTGCGGTCTTGAATACTTTCCAGGCCTCTTTCTTGGAAAGCCAATGTTCAGATCCTCTAGTCTTAGACTTGGTTCTCAGTATTTCCCCATCAGGGAAGGATGCTTTCTTTCTGGGGGGTGATGCCTTCTGTGTTGCATCCCCATAACGCACTTGCCCCCCTGTCCTCTCTTCCATGTAATCCCCACCTGATTTTGTTCCAGAATGGGCTCTGGATCTGGTGCTACTGATTCTGGATTGTTCTCCCACCTACACGTAAGCCGAAATTTGTAGTCTTCTCTAGCCTCTGTTACACTCTCAGCTTGGGTGACTGTGTGATTTCATTTGCTTTTGCTGTTGATCTATATGGTTTTGGAGGATATATGTAAATATTTGGGTTTAAGGAACCAAAGGATCTAGGAATATCAACTGCTTCTTTTCTGTTTTGTTGGAAGGAGGGGCAGATATTTTCTTACCCAGTTTCCCGGCAGCAACAACAAGGGCATGTGACATCTACTCAGCAAATCACATGGTCCCACCTAAGAGTCTGAATCTAAGTGACTCAAAGACTCAAAAAAGCAGAGGATTAATTTGGAATAAATCCCCTTGCTGACAGCAGGAGAGGTAGCACCCACCATTTAGGATGGGTATAGCCCCTATGGCTATGGATCCCACTTGACTCTGTGTGGTAAGAGAGAAGGGGAGCTTACAACCTCCCTGGGAAATTCTGTCTCATTCTTAACAGAAATCATCATTCTTTTTAAATCTCGTATTGAGCAGAGATTCCTCTTCCTTCTACCTATGGAACAAAGCCACAC